TCAGTATGATTAAAATGTATAATAAAATTTATAGCATTAATAGATTTTTGGTAGTGGGAGGTGGTAACTGAATACATTGTAGTGCAATGTTGAAATAGAAAGAAAATCTATTCTTCCAGGAGCAAAATAGGAAAAAGGACAAAAAGAAAAATGTCTTTCTGCTTTTGAGGTTGCCTGACAAAACACATAGCAATGGAATACAAAAGGCCTCATTCTAATTGAATTACAAACTGTGTAATAGTTTAAACTGCACCTGTTGGTGTTATGAAGCTACCATATTCCTTGGAGACATGTTCCTTGGATTCTTTTAAGAATCGTACTCGACCAGTTCAGCATTGCCTTCTGAGTCTTTGTGCTGAAATAGCAAAATGTATAGCTTAACAGCTCAGCCTTTATTAAACAATAAATAGAGTGAAGCACTGCACATGGTGTTTGTGCATGCCTGTGTTTAACTTGTATTAATTCGTATTTAGTAGCATCTTTCTCCTTGTCTCTGTTCTTCTGCTTTTTGTTGCTTTAGGCTGTCACATCCTGGAGCAGTCACAGCCTTACAGACAACTCCATGCTAGTGGGGATTGGAGTCACTGGGTAGTTCTGTGACACATTTTAATTATACACATTTTAATTACAAGTTCAGTGTTGATCCTGGGAATACTTATAAGAGATTATTGTTGTAGTTCAGATTTCTCAATACATCCCTGAATCAGGTCAGCAAGGGAAAAAGTGAGGCATGGGAGGTTTTTGAGGCTTAATAAGGTGACTGTAATCAGTTGAGCAATGATCCTAAACTTGCACCAGAGAAGGAAATTACTTCTACAGTTGGTCACATGGGGTTGACTTTAGATTATTTTGAAGTAGATTGCCAGCTATTCATTAGAAGCATATCAAACTTTGAATGATGAACTGTCATTCAAAAAACAGGAAAGAATGTATGACAGTTTCTTTTTTTGTGTGGAAAGCTCATGTGGTTTTATATATAGTTGTTTTGCTTCATTGGTCAATAGTACACCAGCTAAAAATATCTGTTTCTTTGAAAACATATGGTGTTTATATATTCTTTAAAAATTTTCAGTTATGCTAATCCTAAATGCTTTTTTCTGTTTTAGTTTCCAAAATACTGGTTTTAATAAGCTTTTTAAATGAGCAAAGGCATTGATTCTTCACCAGCATAATGATTTTCATTTGTATGAGTTGAAGATTCCTGTAACATTGAAGTATTTGGTTAAGGAAGGCTTGCTATTAAGTAACTTAATTTCTGTATGTCAGAATGTGTAGTTTTATAACACTGGATTGTGTGTCTTTCAAAGGATATTCCACAAATTTATAAGGAAGCTATTTCTGTTTAATAAGATATATGTGTCATCCCTGTTTTTTTCCTTTTAAATGCTAAATTCAGAAAATAACATACTGATTAATCTCAGGAGTATCCTGTCACATCAAAGTAATAATGCAAGTTTGCTCTAATATAGCCTAGGTTAGAGAAATGAGACTCATCTCGTATGTATATGTATATGCATCCCTCTCTGAAATCAGATCTCTAAGGTGCAAATATTCGCATTACTTTTACATATTGGTCTGTGAAAGCTTGAGTTCTAATTTTTAAGCATGAAGTATCTTGCAGTATAGCCACTGTAATAGATGCCCAGGTAGGCAAAGTGAGACTCTTGAAGTTTACTGTGATATGTAGATGTATTCTCACATCCGATGTATCTCGCATCCCACAGAAAGGATGGATGAAAAATGGTGTTCTGCAGGAAGGAGTCTTAGGTGAGGGGAATGCTTTGCTGTAGCTTTGAAAGTCTGTTTGATATCCCACAGGTTGGGACACAAAAGCAGTTACCATCTGCTTTTCTCCTGCAACCTGAGAAGATCATCAGACTGCCAGAAGTACACTTTGGTTGTACTCATGATTATCAAGACCTCTTGAAAGTCTTGTTTTTTATCTTTTTAAATCAACTGCTTCATATGCATTTTTTCCTTTTTTACAGTATTCTGTAACTTCTCTGAAGACCATCCCAGAGTTATGTAGAAGGTGTGATTCACAAAATGAAGACAGATCAGGTATGATGCTTACTTCTGTCCACCCATCATTTTCTAGGCTGCTTTTTATAATGTGCAATTTGACAACAATAGCTTCTTGGCAGTGTTCTGTTGTTTTGTTTTCTCTTATTTTTGTACAGCTTTCTGGAAACATGACTTTTTTTTTTTCAACAGATGTTAGTTCATTAGAAGGAAAAAAAGTTCCCAAAAAGGATTTGGCTGTATATAGATAAATGTAGGGCTTCATCTCAGCAGCTCCAAACCACAGTATATGCAACAATTTACTTGAAAACCCGAGAAACCATTGGTGACAAGACGTAATAATGTAGGCGCCAATGAAAAAATGTTGGATACATTTACTACCCACATGGCAACGACCAGTTTGAGAGATGATGTTTTGCCAGAGTCTGAAACTGTATCAAGGATGCTACATGATAGAATCTACTCTCAGGCATACTGTAATGGTTAAGATTAAAGCTGAGTTTCTGAGTTTAATAGTGTAAACTAAATGAAGAATCGTGACATATAGATGAGAACCAGCTGGAGACCCTCCCCCTGCCCCCTTGACAAAAATTGCATTCAGTGTTGTTTTTCACTCTGTAAATCAGATTAATCCCCTTTTGTTTTTTTCTCTTTTCTGATGGAGGAGAAATGAATTGGTGTAAGGAGCATTTTTGTTGAGCTATGAAAAGTTTATTGTGCTTTCTGATGTATTAATTGAACTTTCATAATGTTATTTCATAAAATACTTTTATAATGGAAATGGAAGACCTGGAGTTTGTGGGACAATAGCAGGCTTTAAGAACCGTGCTATACTTTGGCAATTTTTATTTCTGTATTTAATTTCAGAGAGTTTTAAATTTCCAAGGTGTGTAACAAAGTTGAAACTTTCTGAGAGCCACTTCTTCTATCAGAGTTATTAAAGGCCAGGTCATCACAACTGTATGCCACTACTCTTTGACGATAAATGGAAACAAAGCTCTCCTTGCCATACCTGCTTGCTATGTTACTGCCTGCACAGGGCAGGTAGCTCCTTCTCATTCATCCTTTCATCCCTCCCCAGATTCCTTCCACAATTCTTCACCCCCATTCCTCCTACCATTCTTCTTTCACTCATTCTCCCCACCATTCTCTCTACCATCCTCCCCACTGTTTTCCCACCTGTTCTCCTTACCGTTCCTCCACACATTCTTCATCCCTTCTCCTCAATGTTCAGCCCAGCATTCTTTCCAATTTCCCCAAAGCTTACCTTTTATTCCCCCTCATTCTTTCCTCCCCAGTCTTTTCCACCATTCTTCCCCATGAGTCTTTCCCATTTTCCCCCCTAGTCAAGTCTTTCCCAATATTTTTCCCACCATTCTTCTAGAGCCTTCTTCCTCCCATTCATTTCACCATGCTTTCCCCACCATTCACTGCCCCTCATTGTCACTCCCTTTGTTCCCCATTCAGTACCCACCTCATCTTTTCCAAGTCTCCCTCCCTTGCATTTTCTCCCCACTGCCATTTCCGCCCCCACCCACCCCCTCCCTCACTGCCTATCAGTATTAGCACTTGATCATGTGGTGGCTGGGCATTATCTCATCTTGTCATAAAAAGAGTTAAAGCCTCTCATTGACTCAGCTGCTCCAAGCACAAGTTGAACTAGAAAAGGAGAGCAGGCATAGCCTCTAAGACATATTCTGCTGGATGGTCTGTTTATGATGACTGCTAAGCCACAGTGGCAGCATCACTATCTGTTTTCAGGAAGAAGAGTATATTTTTTTTTAAAATTCAGATATGATATTAAAATACAGACCAAAAGCAAGGATGAAGCACTGGTAATGAGTTCTTCCTTAAGACCATGGGTTATTGACAATATATTGTGTAGCTCTGTTGTTTCATAGTCTCCTCTGCAGTCAAACATTTTCCAATGATGACTTTAATTACATCTGCACTCATCTATTGCCTTGAAAAGGAGTTGACAGAAGCAAGTTCAGGCATTGCTGTAAGACAGTAGTAACACTGGGGAGTCTGCCAGTGGAAGTTAATTCACAGCTTTGTTTAAAATTCTTGAATCACAAAAAAGGTCTTTAGTACTGATAATAGTGTTGGCAACTTGTAAACAGTACTAATATGTATTTTTGTATCTACTTATCATTTATGAGCTTTGCTGAATTGGAAATAGTACTAAAATCTATTTCATTTTTACTTTGTTTAATCACTGAGTAAACATATAGTGCTGAACAGGAACGTATCACTTTACATCCCTGTACAGACCAGTATCTGAACTATCTTGAAATGTCAACAGAGCTGCATCAGTCAACATTGTGTATGACCTCATCTGTTGATTTTTCATAGTTGATTTTGATGCAGTTGCTTGCCTTTCTCATAGCATAGACCATTAAAGAATGTTCCCCAATTTATTGTTGCTATGTGCTATTTGTGATGAAGATGGATTATATCATAAATCTTTAGTAAGTGTGACAGTCATGTTATTTTATAACTGTATTCCACTGGCAATTTATGTAAATTACACATAGAAAAATCAGAGGTTTTGCAAAGAGCTGATCCAGCTTTCTACCTCATACTGACTCCTGCTTAGTTATAGCTTGTATTTCTTCTTTAAAGCAGACAGCAAGGTGAAAGTAGAACTATCCAAGATATATATATTTTTAAAGAACTAAAAGTTAACTGTAAGTTAGCCATAGGATTAGTTATGTCAGGACCCTGAAAAAAAGCTATCTAAAAATAATTCTCTGTCAGCTCTGTCTCAGAAAAATATTTAGTTTGCTAAGACAGTTATGACAAAAGGATAGAGAAAATAAGATTTAACTTTATACTTAAAAATATATATAAATACGCAGACAACCATTTTTGCCAACAAGATTGTTCGAACAGATTTAAACCAGACAGTTCCTTTGTGAAATTACATTTTTTAATTATATGGCTAATAATATCTTATGGAACTCTTACTATTCATTGTGTTTGCAGATAAGTCTAGTAAATAGCCTTGTAAATCCCATTTTCTTTCCCCATTTCACGTAAACATTGAATAATATGTTAGTAACATATGACAGTGTTTGGTTATGTTGTTTTCAAATTACTTCAAGCACTTTTAATCCTAGGCAAACATATCAGCATTTGCCAGTCAGTGTGCTTCCTCAAACATTTCACATAGACCTTTCAACAGTTATTTTTTTTTTAAACTATTTCTGCCTGCCTGTAATTGCTGAAACTAGTTGTTCTTTTGGGCAAGGAGAGATTAGGAAGTCTAAGAAGGGATTTCTGTATGTGTAGTTTTTCCTCCCTGGATTCATACTGTCACCTCCATTTATGGGACAGCACTGGCTGGTGACCTGTAGCAGTGGAAAGGTCTTGTGATTCCTTACTCCCCCTTTTGCAAGACATGCCTGAAAGTCATGCAGTCAGTACAGTCTCAGTCCTGACTCCTCTGTGGCCTTCCTTGGATTCAGGGTATTCTGACTCCGGAAAATTCCAAGGGATCCTTGGAGCCAAAGTTTGTGTCTCAGTACCCCCATATTACAATGTAAATATAGTATATTATGATATATATGATATGTGGGATTGGAGAAAAGGTGTTGGGCAAATGATTTATCCACAGTAAAGAGTGATTAAGATTGTTTTTTCTACCATCACAGTTCAAGAAAATGATCTTTGTAGCTACCATAATAACCACTAAGATGTTCTTCAAAGATAGAAAATTAAAGAGTGTCATTTAAAAATGGGTCCAGCTAACTAATTTTTCTGACATGAAGTGTGAGCCAGCCTGCCCATTGATTTCCAGTATTGTCTAATGTAGAATTATGAACTGAAACAGAAATAAGTCCTTTATGCTTTTGTTATTAAGCATGAAATTGGTTGCTTGCTTTCTGGTCAGATTTTCTAAGGTCACTTGAGCAAACGGTTCAAGACATCTGTGTTCAGCAAGCTTCACTGAGCCATATCGTTGTTGAAGTATATTCTGTCAGCTATGATGACTTTCGGTTGTCATAAAATATTTGTCTCTAATGAAGACAATATCCTACTCTAGAGCTTTAATCACAGGTTAATAAAAGCAGGTTCATTTTTAATCTCCAGCAGGTATCTTTCTGCACAGTTTTATTCATTCTAAAAGTAACTGTCATTCACAAAATTATTCAGAAGATTAGTTTCCTATCTGAGAAAAAGAAATAAACTAGTCCCTATAAAATTGCACACAGTTTTGATCTCAAGCTCTTGTTAGTTTTTTAGCTATGAGAAATTAAAGTAAAATTTTATTTGAAAGCAGTGTTATATGGCATTAATTTCACAGAATCTGTTATGCACCAAATACCTCCCAGGTAAATATGTCTGAAACAATACAAAGTTGATTGGATAATTCCTTGATAGAATACTGAAGAATATTCTCAGAAAAAAAACAGTAATTAATATGCAGTGACACTTATGATAGCTATAGATAAGCTCTTTTCCTGCCTCATTTTCATATATTCCCTCTTCCTGTTTTACACATTTTGTGCCAGAATGTCCTCTTCTGTTTTTGACGTAGAACTTTGCTTTTTACCTCCCATTTTCATCCTTAGATCAGTCTGGACAAGAGTAAACCCAATTTATTAATTTAAAAATTTTCTTTGCATGTTCTACATTCTCTACTTTAGAAATGACAGCTTTTGTAGTGTTTTTTCTCAAGCCAAGATAAGAAAAAATATCCATTCACTGAGACCCATATTAATGTTTGAATTACCTGGAAAAGATACCTTATTATTTAAAAGGATGTATTAATATTTACCCTGTTTACTCTTTCTTTCTTCTTTAGAATGGCTTCAAATTCCACTTAAATTGGAAAGAAAGGTCTCTGTTCTTATCTGTGCAGAGTTGTTCTTTAATTCAGGTGCTCTAGAGCTTATGTTAAAAAACACTAAAATGTATTCCTGGAAGTTACTAATATATTAAAACTGTAAAACAGTGCCACCTTCAGTTAAAATTGTTAAATATTATTTCAGGGATATTAATAAAACAGTAAATAGACATTCAGAACTGGTTTT